ATCTCTCATCACTTCTCACGCCTAAATCCTCTTTATATGCTGACGACTTGAAATTCTATGGCAATCCGACTCATGCCTATCAGACCCTTCAAACCGACATCAATCGTCTGTCTTATTAGAATGCAGTATGGCAAATGTCTACTAACGCTGAGAAATGTCCCAGTAAACACGGTTGTGACATTGTGACATAAGCTACATAACATCACAATGGACTACTCATGCTATGTAACTAACATGTAATGTTGACTACATTTACTAGATATCTAACTATTATGTCGCAGCGATATAGCTTGCATATAAGCGTTTAAACATCAGACTGTGGTACTCCTGTTATGTCACTAACACCTAATGTTAACTGCATTTAGTAGATATCTCATTATTGTGTCGCAGCGATATAGTTTACAGGTAAGCCTTGTAACATCACAATGGAGTACTACGGTTATGTAACCAATAAGTAATGTTAACTGTAGTTACTAGATATCTGCTTAATATATATACATCCTTCGGAATGTTTTATTTTTATTAGTTAGTTATGTAAAGTGCTTTTCAGTTCATTTTACTAAATGCCATGTCAAATCAAAAATTAACGTTTCTGACAGGGCAACACCAAAAAACATTTAAAAACATACATATCGAGTATTTTATAGCTCTATTTGATATTTATTAATTATGTCTGTGTTGCAAGTAAATAATATATTCATAAACAAAATATGCTGAGTCTTAAAAAAAGAAATTCTTCCCTGTCTTAAATCTTACACAAATGAGATGACGCCAATAGTGAGTTGTTATTTTTTTTTTCATGTTATATTTCCATGTAATTATATTTATTTATAATTTTATTTTTATACGTCCATAACGACCTGCGCTTTATAAAACAGAACAAGAACTTAATGCATATAGTTTATGAACAGAATTAAAAAATGTCCCATCTAACAGATAACACGAATTAAGACATTATTTTTTAACCTCTGCCTATGCGTCACTACCAAAAAGGAACAATTATACATATACAGAATTATGAAATATGCTCGAAAAATAAAATCATATATTTCATCATTTTTTTAATTCTAATGCAAAATATGTTGATCGGCAACAAAAGCAACACAAAGAAAAAAATCGAAATTCAAAAACGAATCTATTTCAAGGTCAGCGATATCGTTTTAAAATAAAAATGAATTAAATAATTCCTTCACTTTGATCGTAACGAAAATAAATAATAATTTGAATACGGAACAATAATTGGTCATCGAGTTTTGTGTATTGACTTTCGCACTCAGTTATAGGTGTATCTGTTTAACATTAAATTTTCAAAAGTTTAGATTTTTCCAATGTAATCTTGGGCTCCAAAATAAACTGGTAATGTATAATGTATAATTATAAATGAGTATTTTCGTGGTTGATTTTTAAATTATTATTACCTCAAAAAATCCACTTCATTTCATATCCAATATGTAGCTAACTGAAAACTGATAATAAAGCAGCAGATATGACGAAATAGTGTAGACTTTTTTTAATGTCGGTAATAGAGTGTATGTATAATAACTAGAGAGCGGAAAATATGCAGCAAAATTTTGGGGAATATGATCATATGACATGCATCAAATTTATGCAAATATACAATAACTTTCTTAATATATGTAGAGATATGCAGTTGCATATGCTCCAAAAATAAAAAAAAGCGTAATAACCGAACTAAATTTATTTACAAATTGCAAAAACACCTTACCTTTTATTACAAAAAATACATAAATCACATTGCAAAGTGTTTAATTAGATCTCACTGACAAATAAATGACATTTTTTAAGATAATATTCTTATACTAAAAAATAAATATAGGTAAACAGAACGAATTAAAAAATAGTAGTAATCGACTATTTAATAATTACTATTTTGATAACAATTTATTTTTAAATATTTTTCGAAATATTCTAACAAAAATTTTTCCGGTGATTCTAAAGTATGTATTTATAAATAGAAAAACTGCGTACTGCGTCCACAGATGTAAAAATACTTATCGGATTAGAGCAGGCACAACAAAACACACTTTCTTCTTGAAGAATAAGTTCAGGAAAAGGTTTAATTCATAAATTAATTTGAGTTATCTACATATTGACACACATCTCTATCGCTTTAAATACTTAAATGCAAACTCACGATGAAAAATAATAGGATAACGTCCCTTCGACCACCATAAAACATACCATTAATACACTTAAGTAACGAACAAAAATATTGAAATGAACGGTATTTCCGAAAGTAATTAGGACCCGAATTTACCTGGAAGGATGGCTTAACACCCAGTGGTTCCTCCAAACTACCATAAAACCCAAACCTTTCCCAGTTATTTGAAGCTCAGGACAATATGAAATTTCGTTTGTCTAGAAAAATGCCGATCGAATGGCATTTTTTTTTCAAAGTAGCACAAAAATTGATAAAACTGCAAAATATGCACCCGTTACGTGAAATATGTAGCAGAAGGCAAATGTATGCAAATATGCAATTTTTTATAGCTGTATTCATTTTTAATTAGCATGATTCGTTCACATATTGAATATCAAGAGTTATATGCAAAAAATAACGGATATGCAAATTTCATAAAATCTCTAATAATAACCAATACATCGGATATGTTTCTGTTTTTGTGTTCATTCGACACCACTGTATTTACAGTATTTAAGCAGGTATACGTTTCCGCCCCTAAAATCCCACGTACGGCATCCTTTGCCCACGTAAATACAGTGTTTGGGATGAAGACAGAAACAGAAACATATCAGATGTGGCGATTCACATATAGTTTTACAACACCTTATCAAAATTCGTAATGCTTAGGTAATTAATAATTATATTCAGAGCGCAAAATACAACGGCTTTATAAGAAATACACCAAAAACAAGTTTTTTCATTCTAATAATTTCTAATAATTATTTCTGTAAACTTGTTCACTGTTGAAGTGTTATTTTGTAAGTATCTGCTTAGAAAATTATAACTAGAACATCTGGGGTAATATAGAGAAGACCCAACGACACAAACAAAGTCATAAAAATTCTTTGTCCATTGTCCCTGAAACGGGGCAAGGTTTTGAAGAGTTCATTCGTCGAATTTTGATTTTATAAAGACGTTTATAAAGCGATGATGGGTACCAAAAAAATTAGAGAGTGGTAAATTTTAATTTTATTAAATTTATTTCATCTAATGAAAAAATAACGCTCAACTTCTGCATTTACTATCCATCAGATGTTTGCGGGGTGCAGTCGGACGATCCCTTTTTTCAGTATTTATGTTTATTGCACTTCACACTCACAGTGAAGCTTTCGAATTCCGTTTGGCGTTGGGCATTTGGTTCACAACCACCAAACCTTTCTCGTGGATCCGTAACTCACTTCATTTTTAATGCAGTTTTGTGAAAATTTCTGCCATTCAGTGTGGGTTGTGTTTATACTAGGTAGAAGATACTCCCGCTGATTTTTAAGAACTTACGGTGATTGTTTTTGAAAGTGAGGCGCTTTGCCATAAAATGTTGCAAAGGTATGTTACTGCAATTTTTTATGAACTAGGTGCTAATGAACATAATTTTACTCTAGATTTGAAACAAATACAAAAAATATGTGCGAAACAAAACAAATTCTAAAGGAAACGGGTGAACAAATCTACAACATGAAAACGTCATCAAAAAGAAAACAGTAATAGAAGATATGCCGCCAAAACCACTGCTAAATAAATTTTGAAGAATTAGAAGATTATCTTTGCCTACTACAACAAGCAGGTTTCTTTGTAAGTTAAAAAAAATACAATAAATTTATATCTATGTACTTACATATAACATAATATAGGATATTATATAGATGCCTGTAATACTATAACACTTTTTAGGAACCTACTAAACATGACACATTTCGCTTAACACGTTACATACATAGTGGGTTGCAGAAAAGTCTTGTAGTGAAGCACCCTATATGTTATAGATACGCGGTGACTTCCAAATAGATTCGGAAAAAAAATCCTTTAATTGTCACACGGATTCAGAGTAATTAAATTGCTGCTCCAGTTTGAAGAAACAAATACGGAACATCTTGTTAAATGTAAATGATGCGGCAATGATTTATTCAGTTTCCATTGTGACTAAATTTTGTCTTTGTTTTTGCTGTGTATTGCTTAGATGAAAACAAATGGCACTGAATGAGGTGTAGATCTTGATATTTTTCCCCTGAATTAGGACTAGATAAAAGAAGTTACTTAAAATTTTCTCTACTTCGTGATGTTGTGGTTTTATTTTCCGAACTTATTTCAGAGTCACATAAAAATAACACTTTTTCTTATTTCAGGAACTGCTATTGTCCCAAATACGTGGTAATGGGAAAAAGAGCAATGTGGGGCGTCTATTAAAAAAAAAATTTTCAGCGAATTTGCTGTAGCTTCTTCGTTCAGTAGGAAAATTCCAGAATGGCTGGGACAAAAACAATAAATATCATGAAAGGTGTATTTTTGGCAATAAATATAATTACTACAATTTTTATTTTTGAAGAAATTATACCTAATGAAGACCCATTCCGCAATAGAAAAAGAAGTAGAACAACGCTGCTCAGAGTAGCTACGACATTCTAGTCAACGCCTGAAGAAAGAAAAAAACAACGACAGTTTATAGTTTCTGAGTCTTTGTTTATATTGTATTATTTTCAAATTAGGATCCCTATATAATACATATAAATGGTAACTAGACTTTTGAAATGCCTATTCATATCGCATAGATCATGTTAATAAAATATACTGAGAGTCATATGTTAACGATGTTGCGATATATACGTCCATTTAATACGTTAGATTGGCGTTTAAAATAAAACGTAACTGATACATCAAAATATAGAGAATCTAGCGACGTACTAAGGCAACGTTATGACGATGTACCAGCGAGCACGTCTCTAGTCTGAAACAATGTGGATGTCACCAGTATGTTACAAGCATGGGTGACTGTTGATTACATTACATAGCACAGGGAACGCAAATGTACGCAGTATGGGATGTAACAGCTAACAAGATCGTAGACAGAGTTAAGTGGCATGAACATCGCTACGACGTAACTGTGTTTACTGGGGTGTGGTACTTCACTTGGGATCAAACAATCCAATGTGTGCATACCATCTTGAGGGAATTGTCCTCAAACCAGTCTCTTCCTACGTAGACCTTGGCATTATGATAACATCCGACTTACCATGATCCTCCCATATTACCTCTACTTGCAAAAAAGCAAAATCCACTTTATTCCTTCTCTCGAAGACTTTCACGCATCCTTCTCCCGCTACCTTTCCTAAGCTTTCTAATTCTGGAATATGGTGGTCCTATATGGAGTGTGGAATATGTACGAGACCGTAACATGTTGGAGTCTGTGCAGCGCTATGCTACTCGCATCCCTCACGGTAGAACACGCCCACCGTACGAAGCACGCCTCAGAATGTCAAAATTAACAACCTTTTGAAAACAGGAGACATGGGGGTGATCTAATCTTTTGCTTTCGCGTTCTACACAATCAGTTCATAGTTAAACTGTCTCATCTATTTTCCTTAAATACCGATGCCCGATTAAGAAGTACAGATTCAAACTCAGGAAAGAAACCTACAGGACACGGCACAGACAAAACTCATTCAAGAATAGGCTTGATGTTCTATAATTTCTATTTTTTATTTTTCATTATTTCAAATTTTTTTCTTTTGTTAAAGTTTTATAGCTCTTTATAACTATAACCATCCAACGTGTTTTCGCTAACAGACTGCACTGTACAATTATTATTCCAGTAGTTAACAAACAAACGTTTGTGTTCTTTGTTATATTTCCTCAAGACCATACCTCTTTTGCAAATCAATACAAAATCAATGATCCTTTAGAAACAATAGTAAATAGTCATTCCGTGAATCCACTTTGTCACTACGTTTTATCTGCGACTTTGCAAGAGTTACTAGTGTAGATAAAAATAGATCACATGTTATATTTTTTCGGGGCCGCTCTCGATTGTTTTTTTTTAACACTACATATTTTAATGCGGTCGAAGACGTGACGTTAAAATAATAACTGATTGAGAAAATTTTTTTTCAAATCTTATCTATTACTGACCTTATTATTAGGCTATAACATTTACAACTAACAAGAATCACAAGGTCAGTGCCAATAAAGTTTCCTAATTTTGCATTTACGCATTTTGCGTGGCATTTCAATTAATTAACATTACTAGATTCGAGCAGGCTCATTTAGTAATCCGCGCGTCAACGAAGAGGAAAGTCTTCTTAAAAATGGGATCTACCCGCGTGCTAGAGGTAGATTACGACGTTTTAAGTCTCGTTGTGAAATTGTTGAATTATTCCTCGATAGTATCGTTTAATGAAGATGTTGGAAAAATTAAAGAATGGATAAAAAAGCAACCGCATTTTCCAGAAGTGATGGGTTAGTAGCTCCATTGTATGACCCCTTTAAATTTATTTTTCGTGAGAATTTTTTTTTAAAGTGAGGGTTACTGCAATTTGTGCTGATAGGACTTGGTTTATATATTTGACTTTCAAAACCCTAGGACTCCTAGGAGGAAACTTGTTAACTCTGCTTGTAACAAAAGTGAAACTATATACTGTTTTTGATGTTTTGCAGCCGACAAAAAAATTAAAAATTTTCTCATATTAAACAAAGGAAGTGTGGAAAAAAGCAAAGAAAAAATTGAAAATTATTACACCATAAGGTCTCAGTTGCCAGAAATATTCGATAATATTCATCCGAAACTCTCGTACATGGAAACTCTAAAAGCGTCCATGTAATAAGTGATTGTAAAAGTTACTGCATTAATATTTATAACAGTTCATTTTAGCTATTTGGTTCCTCTCCCAAAGCTGACGGAAGAACTATACAGAGTCTTTTTCTATAAAGTGCGTGCTACACATTTAACAGAAAATTTTGAGCCTGTCCATGTTATTCGTCTGTTGTTGAACATACAAGAAATTCGTATGAATGAAGATGTTACCTATGGGGATGTGTTTATATTGGATGGTATAAATACACCTTTTCGGTGCATTCGAAAGGTCACGCCCATGTTGGTTTATAAAACACTGATTGTTATATACAAGGTAAAATAATAAATCACCCATTCGTCTTGCGGAGTTTTTATGTTACAGCAAGTGTTTTCAAACCGACTGAAAGCTGTTTACATCATCAATGCTCCTCCTTACGCCGAAAAGATTTTTAGCCTTCTTAAGGGCGTTCTTAAACCTAAACTAATAGAACGGGTTAGTAGCAGTTTTTGGTGTTTTCAAACTGTCAGCAATAATGATAATGCAAATTTCAGATACATTTTTGCGAAAATCCATATATTTTAACTGAAAAGTTTGGTAAAGAAACTCTTCCAGCAGATTATGGAGGCAGAGAAAAATCTCTGGGAGAGTTGCAAGGTAAAAAAAAATGGTTTTTGTTAGTCTGCTTACGATAAATTTACTTCCAGAAATGCTTTATCAAAAATTTAAAGAACGTGAAGATTATTTTACCCAACTAGATAAACTTCGTATAAATGACGATTTGATACCTCAGAGACTTACAAATGATGAAATTTTTGGAGTTTCTGGTAATTTTAAGAAATTAGATATCGACTGATAATTTTGGTTTATTTTTTGTGATACATTTAGTTCAACTGGTTTTATTCTAATGGTGTTTGTTATTTGTGGATTAATCGATTAATTATACTTTTTTTAATAAATAGCCGAAATGTAAAATGCAAAAAATTTATTAAACAGTCTACGTCCTTCAAAAGTCGGTCCTATCCTCTTCCTCATTTATATCGGTGACCTTTACAGTTCTTTTCCAGTAGGGGAACTAGTCTTATACGCAGACGATTACTTTTTTAATGTAGAAATAAAAAAAGGTAACAAAATTTATATTCGCGAAATTTAGTATTAAACAAATCTCTAAGAAAAAAAATGCCTTTTTCTTTAAGAATATTTACATTTACGTCAGCGGTATTAGATCGAAAACATACTGCAAGCTGAAGAACACATTTTGTAACGCGTCGAAGACTTGCAACTGAATTTGGAGTTTCACAGTTTGTAGTGCATCATACATTAAAAGAACAAGGCCCATATCCATACCACGTTCAAAAAGTGCAAGCTTTGGAGTCCGCTGATTTTTTACATCGTGTAATTTACATGTCGTGAACGCCCTAACTTTTTAAATTGCATTCTGTTTACGGATGATGTAGGATTCACTCGCATTGCTGTTTTCAACAGCCGCAACACTCACATTTGATCCGATGAAAGTCCACGCACTCCTCAAAAAATACAATTCCAACGACAGATTTCCATAAATGTGTGGGCCAGTATCGTAAATGACCAAACAGCCTTTAGGTGAACGAGTTCACATGTGGTACTTGCATGATGGAACACTACCACATTTTCTAGGTCAGTAACTGAATGGTTAAATAACCATTTTCATAACTAGTGGGTTCGTAGAAACGTCCCAGTAGTTTGGCCCCCACGTTTACTCTATCTCAGTCCGTGTGACTTTTATCTGTAGGGTTGGATGAAACAGTTAGTTAATGGAAATCAAAAGTCTCCAGAAACTATCGGAGAGCTTTAACAACGAGTGGAAGTGCAAACATGCTACGATGTGCTGAAGCCTGCAGTAGCATTCTAAATTATTCTAATGAACAATGTGGAATCCTTGTGGCAACGACCAAACATCCGTTAGAATAAAAAGGCGATCACCATTACCAAAAATGGGTCCTTCTCAGGACCACCATTTGTTTCTATAGCTAATGATCTTTCGCACTTTATTTTAATTGTAACTGAAAGTGTGTACATCGTTTTTATTCGAACTTTTTTCCACCTACTATTTAATAGGTGGATCAGTGACATCGCATCGAGAGTGGTTCAAAATATACTTATAATTTGTTTTTTCTATATTTCCACATTATTACGGTACCTACGTGATGCCGTGGTTACAATTATTGCATATATACCGTAATCACCCTGTACAATATTTTAAGTAAGTTAATCACGGATTTAACGAGGCGTTTAGCGACGTCCGATTGGCGTAGAGTCGATCACGTGGTACTTTAACGCTGCGTTAATAAATTTAGCATCTGTCGATAGGATAGGTCCAAGGACCGACACCTGAAAGACATATTTATTAAAAAAAGTATAAATAATCCTTATACGGGGTGACTGCGTAATATATGCAAATATTTTAACCACGGCATACCCCACCCTAGTAGAGCCGAAATATAGAAAAAACAAATTAAAAATCGAATGGGGCAAAACCCCCGTAAACCATCCTCGATACGAAGGCACTGAGCCACCTTGTAAACAGAGTTGGAAAAACGTTCGAATAAAAACGACTTAAACACTTTCAGTTTCAATTAAAAGTAAAACCGACTTTTTGCTGCTTATCATTCGTTCATTCATTTACTCATTCATCGTTAAAGGTCAGTGTGAAAGTTTTTTAGTAATTTTGATTCTGACGCATGTTTGGTCCTTGTCACAACGATTTTACATTGTTTATTGGAACAGAAATAAGAGCAACTTAGAATGCTACTACCTTTTTACAAGAAATGTTGAAAATGTTGTCCTTGACTAGTAATACAAGCGTCAGAGCGTCGCAAGAGGTTTGTTGATAGGTAAAAAAACACCGGAGTAGCGGCTGCCACTTTCACTTGTTGAAGCTCTTCGATAATTTCTGGACACTGTTGATTTCCGCAAACGAATTGTTTCATCCAACCAATACACGTTTCTCGAAAACCGTCTCTTGAAATCGTACTTGTTGACGACTATGTGGAGCTCCATCGGACAAAAAGTGAGTTACACAACGTGGACAATCAGCGGGCTCCAAACAGTGCACTTTGTCAACATGGTATGGTTGTGACCGTGTACTTTAAATGTAGGATGCACTACAAGCTGTGAAAATCCAATTTCTTCTTTCTGTCCCATCACGACCACGATCGTGAGTTTGAGGTTGAAGGCACCATGATCTCGGCGATGCTGTACCACTGATGCAAATGTTCGCGCACACAAATTACCATATCGACACACTCTGCATTGGAAAACTGGACCATACACCGATTTCAACGACCGCTCGATAATGACTGGCCCTTTTCGTGTTTTTCACGTTGCGATTAAAAAAGTGCCTGATAAAGTTACTTTTTTGGTTCTTAATCCGAGTCGCCTGCCCATTCATTGCAGTAATTATGTAGGTCACGAAACATTACCAGCGGCGCGTATAACAATTTACATTTAATTTCAAATAATTTTTTCTAGACACTGCTACCACTTAGGACCGTGAATTTTTGCCAGTGACATAATCACATTGTGAGCTATTCCCCATTTTTTTTGCATGTATTTCGCAGTCACCCTGTATAACAAACCCCATTAAAATAAAAGCAGTTGAACTAAATGCATCACAAAAAGACATGTAAAAAAATAAACCAAAATTATCAGTCGATAATATCAAGTTTCTTCAAATTACCAGAAAATCCAAACATTTAATCATTTATAAAAACAAGAAATGGTAAAAGAGTATTATGGTAATTCAATTTGAGTCGATCAGTGATTACTGAGTGGGTCAGCGCGAGTAAATTCCTAGCTTGACGGGCTCCCAGGACATGTCACAATGCTGCCGATGGGGTTTTGAGGAAGACCAGCTGCTCGAAATCTTGGTCTCGGGCTTTTTGGATACAGCCTGAGTGTAGTTGGAGATGGCTCGTTTGACGAGGTCGCGCACTGTGACGAATGAATGGATCAATTTGTGCATTTATTCCGTTTAATTTGTCCTACAATAATCATCACACTGGATAAAATAATTCAGTTTGAGTAGGTCGTTGATTTCTGAGAATAATTTCTAATTTCACTTTGACATTTGGATTTTGCATGATTAATCCAAAGACGCGATCGCCGAACTTCGACAGTGCGACGGAACATTTCGCGACAAATCGGCTCAGGCGCGAATTTCAAAATACGATTTTTAAAACCTTTTTACAGTGAATGAGCACGATGCAACGATTTGAAAAAAATACTGGCCGATAATCCTCTTCGACCTCCACAAAGGCATCACTCAATAATAGCTTTAAAGTGATTTGGGGAGATATTATAAAATAAAAACCAATTTCCCATGTTAATTCCCTATATCTAGACTTGGATGCGGCACCCTGTATAAGTACAAAATTTCACAACAATCGGTCGAGTACTTTCGGAGATTATCTGTCTAATAAAAATCCGGGACAACAGACGGACAGACGGACGGACAGACGGACGGACAGACGGACAGACAGACGGAAAACCTATTTCTTCGTCTTCTAGGGGTCATGAAAGATCGAGAAAACGTAAAAGTAGAGTGTCGGCCGACGGACTCGATTACAATACTTCCTTTGCTTACGCTCGGGAAGTAAAAAATATCAATAAAACAATCTCAAAAAAACTAGACGAAGTCTTTAGTAAAAATGGGGATTTTACTCGACTAACTAATGTGACGAAAGCTTTAGATGGTCAGTTTTGAGATGAGGTTAATATAGTCCCTCTATCTCTCTAGAGAAACATATTATAATAAATGTAAACAGTAATATTTTTCAAGAGAGTAATTAGTTAGTGAATAAAATAGCTAGTTAATAGTGTAATAGAATACACCGACATAGTTAGTTTTAATCTGTAAATGTGTAGTTTAAGCCCACAAATGTATTACCTAAGGTATGTGTTGTAACAAATGATAGAAATAAAATATTATTGTATAAAAAAATTATTTTTCTTTCATATTTTGCATATATATTTCTTGCATATTTTAGCAATTTTTTGCATATAATGCCAATTTCCGTTGCATCTATGTGCGCATATTTACATGTTTTTTTCTGCATATAATTCCGAGCTTTAGTCATCACCATGGACATCTGTCATATCAATATCTAATTCTTCTGTCTCGGTATCACTTTCATCTTTTTCTTTTTGTTTGTTTTCAGGACTTCCGTTGCTTTGGCTTCTGTTTTTTTAACCTGTTTTCGAGCCTGACACTTTCTTTGTCCTTGTATCACTTTAATTTTCATAGGGGTTTGTTAAAATTTGTGACTGCTATGTTTAGGTCCTCCTCTTTTAATGATGAACGGACACCTTTTTGGAAATGGCAGTGCTTTCGACAAAAATGTGGTTTCTTTGCAATTTATTTTTTGGAAAATTTTGTAGTGGCTACAAAAATAATAGACAAACTTCTTGTATTCGTAATTTCCTCTGGTAGTAAAAGCTTGTCTCCAACGTCTCCAAGTTGGAAACTGATTTCACGCAACTTGTTTATCATGGTCAGTTCAACATTTCACGGCCAATGTGTGTAGTTCCTGTATCTCACACTTCACTTTACGCACTCCCATCTACGCACAATAACTGGAAGGGGAATTTTATAATTCTTCTACGAGTATCTAGTTAATAAAGTGCGTAACAGTAATTAAACAGACAATTACTTTAAAAAGACAACTATATATTCAGTTTATGTGAAAATTTGACAACTTGTGCATCGTATCATGGAGAGTTCATCAAACTTGTTTGAAGTTCGTGATGATATTTTACAACTTGTTCTGAATGAATTAAATTATTCTTCGATAAATTCTTTTCACGAGGACGTTAGAAAAATTAGAGAATGGATGATGAAACAACCACATTTACCAGAAGTAATGGGTAAGAAACATAATTGTACATAATATTGTTTGAAAATGTAGAAACACGATATCATTTCGAAATATCAAATATTCCTATGAGATGAAAGAAATCATGTCAAAATTTGTGTTTCTATGTAACGGCTGAATAAAATTATTATTATTATTATCTAAGTGACAATGAAATAACCAGTGTAACTATTTTACAATGTTATCTATTTTGTTCAAGTCAAATGTTATTTTTTGTTAATTCAATTAGAATCAATAAGGTTAGTATAAAGTACTATCTTTTATCTGCGACCGGGATGATAATCACTTATTATGTTGGCTATTTGAGTTACGTAATCTTCAATATTATTTCACTAGTGGTGTAATGAAATTCATTACACAAGTCATTGAAAATCTTCAAGAATAAATTCAAGAATAAATTTATAAATATAGAGATGGAACATTTTATTTAAGTAAATTACAAACTACAAGACACTTACGTATTAGGGTTACTATAAAGATTAATAACAATGTTTTCGCAATTGGATATATATTGATACCAGCTGATGTGGTTAGCTGTTAGCTGTACCGTGTTTTTACTTTTTATTTGTAGTGACGTATTGTTCATACAAGAACTATTTGCTATAACTTCTACTAAAATTTTAGTCGCAATTTGTTTTAATTATCTTTTGGTGTATCAGTGTACTCCTCCGCCACTGTATTCGATTTCCAGTCGGGGTCTCTATTTTGGCAAAATATTCGTTATGAAGTAATAAAGCCACCGAAGCACAAATGGTTAAAATTGTCATTTATAAAGTCCGTTGCCAAGTTCCCGTTGATAGTAACTTTGATGTTCAACTTTGGCTGTATTTCAAGGAGTTGTAGAAGAAAAGTAGAGGATTTAAGTTGATTACTGCAAAAATTTACCATTTTAGACATATTTTAAGTTTCTTGTTGTCGAAATAAGTCTGCACATACCAAGAAAAAAAGGCAAAATGTGCCCCGCCCACCCACCCTATCTCAATTGTGATGATTTTTTTATTCGTAGTGAACCAAGGGGACGGAGCTTAACTGCAAAATAGGTTTTTGAGTATCGTGTCGTTCAAAGAATACTATGTATATTAAGAAAAAAGTAAAGCCGAAGATTAGGCCCCACCCATACCCACCGCGATCTAAATTCTCAATTGTGATGAATATTTCAATCATTGTCAGATCGAATGCCGAGAGTTAAGTGCAAGATCGATTTTTGTCCACAAAAATTTACCACTCTAAACATATTTTAAGTTTCTTGTTCTGAAAAGACAACTACGTATATTAAGAAAAGAGGCAAAATATAAGCCCCGCCCACACGCCCTATCTCAATTGTGACGATTTTTTTTAATCGTTGAGAGTCAAAGGAGCGGAATTTAAATGCAAAATTCTTATTATTTCTCTACAAGAAATTACCATGTAAAATGTTTTTGAGTATCGTGTTATTGAAAGAATACTATGTACATGTGTTAAGAAAAAATTAAAGCCAAAAATTAATCCCCACACTGCCCTGATCTAGATAGTAATGAAGTTTTCATTCGTGCAAAATCCATATTTCCTTACAAAAATTTACCATTTTAGACGTGTTTTAAGTTTCAAAAATAAAAAAATCATCACAAGTGAAATCGGCTGGGTGGGCGGGGTTTATATTTTGCCTTTTTTTTATTTTCGTAGTTGTCTTTTCAGAACAGAAGAACAGTTAAGCTCCGCCCCCTTGGTTGTCGAATAGTCGAATAAAAAAAAATCATCACAATTGAGAGGGGCTTACATTTTGCTTTTTTGTGTTAATATGTGTAGACTTCTTTTCGCAACATGAAACTTAAAACATATTTAAAATGGAAAATTTGTATAAGAAAATATTGATTTTGCATTTAGGGTCGGCCCCATAATTGCAAAACCCATATTTCCTTGCATAAACCATTTTAACCATGTTTTAAGTTGCTTGTTATAAAAAAATGGCTATGTATATTAAGAAAAAACAAAACAAAATATTAGGAAGTGTTGTAATCGGTCGACTCTCTACTTTTATATTTTCTCGACCTTTCATGACCACTACAGTACGAACAAAATATAGTCCAGTGCACTCTTTCGGATCTGATAAATTAAAAAATGTAGTGATGTCTATTAGCATACTTCCAAACGTATTAATATGTATTCACCAAAAAATCTTCCACGGTTGGTATGCTGAGGACCTAATGCCAAATATTTTCTAAGTATTTCCACTATATCAGGTCCCTTAATCTTACCAACCGTTACAAAAAATTCTCTGGAAATTTTGGTTTTGGTGTTCGGGAGTTGTGCTATGTATATAGAAAACCAACTCCTCATTGTTAACATTTTCTAGGAACTAGTTAGTGAGTTCTTCTTTCTTGCAAGCTCCAGCAATGCCAAGCTAAGAACAATATGAATTAAAATAATTTGAAGACATTTTAGGCATATCTTACCCCAGTCATCAAAAACTGCTAATCGTCGGCTTCTTTCAGCAACTTTCCAATCTCATCTTAAAATAAATATTTTTGACTTCTTGGGTCTATACCCTTCTGATGGCCTTTTTAACAATACAATCAACGGTTTGCATTTGCTTATGTCAACATTGTTTTTCGTACAAATCGCAGGGGGGAGGGGCTGGTCCAACACACTGGACATAGCAAAATAGTAATTATCAAAACTAATTTTGTTAGCTCGCTCCCCTTGTATAAAATGTATCAAAACTTAAACCCACTTATAATTAAAGATGTTGTGTCTTGGATATATGATATGTTTTTGCTGATGAAGTGTTGATAAAAGCCGGAAAAAGTGTCCAAATCGTGGCTGATTTAGACGTTTTCTTTACACCGTTACCATAGAAACCACGCGTCTAGCCGACGCATTCAGCTGGAGTCGGGTCCCGTTCTGATAGTGCTCAGCAGCAGTAACTCAATCGCGGGTTTTCTTTTTCATTTTGCGCGAGTGAAATTGTTTGATTTTAAATAAAAATTTAAAAATAATGGATTCGGTTGAATATTTAATAAAAAATCGTCCTCTGTATCACGACAGTAAAATTTAGGGAGAGCCACCCCCGATTCATTAACAAAAAAGTGTTCATGACAAAATCTTTATTAATTTTGTGTCGTATCTAAGCAGGCGTGGGTTAGAGCATACTCCACACTCGTTGTGTAATGCCGCTTCTACCCCACTTGTAATGTAAATGACTATTACAGCAAGGAGTATTAGCAATACTTCTTATTGTTATTGTTCTGTATCACAAATGACCATATATAGGCACCGCATCTCGTATTTCTTAGATTTAATAAACTGGTTAAATTTTTGTAGCCGACAAAAAAATTGAAAACTTTCTTATATTAAACAAAGGCAGCGTCGAAAGATGTAAGGAAAAAATAGAGAATTACTACAGTGTAAGAACCCACTTAACTGAAATATTTGAAAATATTAATCCCAAATTACCTTACATGGACTACACGTTGAAGGCAATGTACCACCGGTCTGGAAAACTCTTAAAACAATAATTATCACGTTCTTTTAGGTATTTGGTTCCTCTTCCTAAGCTTACAAAGAACATGTATAGAGTATTTTATCATAAAATACGCGATGCACCCTTAACGGCAAACTTTGATTATAATTACGCTGTCCGTCTTGTAGTAAATATACAAGAACTTCGTTTGACTGAAGATGTTGCATATGGCGATGTCTTTATAATAGACGGTCAAAATACTCCCCCAAGTCTTGTGTTCAAAGTTAAACTAACAACTCTATACAACGCATTAGTCGTTATATACAAGGTAAAATAAAATTGGTTAATGTACGTTGTAAAATTTTAGTATTGTAGAAGGTTTTCTCGAATCGAATGAAAGCACTTTATCTAATTAACGCTCCTTCTTCAGTAGAATGGATTCTAACTGTTATTAAGAGCGTGATAAAACCTAAACTATTCGAGCGAGTGAGGAATTTTCAAAGTATATTGTTTTAATCACCAGTATTTATAAATTTGGATTACAGATACATGTATGTGAAAATTGGAATACTGTCTTTGAACAGATAGGCGAGGAAATTCTACCGAGAGACTGTGGAGGTAAAGAAAAATCTTTGGAAGAATTACAAGGTAAGACAATGTTTGAAAACTTTCATGTGTATTTTAACAACGGTGATTGTTAGATACCCTCCGACAAGAGTTTAATAAACACCAGGAGTACTTTAATCAACTAGACGCCCTTCGTGTCAACGAAGAACTGAGACCACAAAGACTTAAAAACAGCAATATGTTCGGGTTTTCTGGAAATTTTAAAAAATTAGATATTGATTAAAATTTTGACATATGACCTTTGTCCAGTAAAAATATAAATTGATATTAATTTTTCTAATACAGAATAAACAGTGATCTACCGTCACCATCGAAAAGACAGACATAATAAACTGATGAAAACACTGATTCTTTCGATCTTATTGTTGAAAGTCAATTCAAAGTTCGTATTGTTAACCGGGGTTAACGACATTCTCTTGAGATCGTTTTTTTTTTTTACAAAATTTTCATATAACAACTTATAGCTTGTATAATTAAAGAAATCATGTGAATTAAACTACTCTCAAACGCTAAAAGGCAAACTCGGTGCAGATTATGTATTGTATGTCAGTAATTATGTACTTGATAAATGTAACTAATTTTCAGTGTTTAATGCATTCATTAACAAAGTTCATTAAATTTTATCACACGAATATTGAATAAGCTAATAACTTAATGATTCGCTTAATTGAAAAAAAGTTAAAAGTCGTAAATAACAAGTCATTTCATTACATTAACACAAACGTTTTATTTAACCTTCAAGCAGTTGCAGGTTTTTTTCTATTCTAAAATTATACTGTGATTTTTTGTTGTTAAAAACCTACATCTTAATACAAGATTAGAACTAAAAAAAGAAACAAGGTTTGTTGCTGCATAAAAATAATTCTAAAAGACTTATTAGAATTTCACAGTAAAGAGACCACCGTTTTCTGAAATAAAATTGCCAACAGACTACAGACAGACGGAAACAAGAAAACCTATTTTTTCCAGAAGGTACGAAACATCTAAAAAACATGAAAGTAGCCAGTCGTCAAATTGGTTGTATTACAGCACTTCAGAAGTAAAAAAAATACCAAATTTTCATAATCTTCAGGGCCTTAAATAAGAAACTTCAAATTAAAACTTCACCGAATAATATTATATTATATACCAAAGGACTGAAGCCGGAGGCGAGAAAAATAATTCCTACTGTGTTTATCTTCTCTTTGTGGGAACGAACCAAGTATAATAATCCCAGCAGGTCAAAAATTTTTAAACATGGCGATCAGCCTGCGCATTATCATATCTCCTACAGTAGTTGTATCATGATTTACGACTATGCACTCGAATTAACCATGCCCCTAGGTTCGAAAGTACCGCCAACCAATGGCGGAGCAATTTAGTTTATCATCCATCATAGGTATGAAACGAACTGAAACTTATGAAAACTAAGCGTCTTTCCGAGAACATTTGCACCCATCCCATAATTTACAAAGTTTGCAGCTCACCATATTGTGTTTATTTAAGAAAATATATACATACACACAATATGTGAGGGAACACAATAACTAGCATGTACGCCTATGGAGTACCAGGATTTTTTAGCAAAATCATACCATTGGAAGCATTTGACATGCTCCCTCCCTTCGCATTTTTTCATTCCTGCAGTTGAGGTCGTCAGTTCCTGGTCGCCAGTTCACCTTCTCTGTCACAAGAGTACAAAGAGCATGAGATAAAACTGTGTGTAACAGCAATTGATAAACTGCCTAACAGTAATTAAGTGGGTATTTATTTTAAAAAGGCAACAATTCACTCTGTGCCAAAAATCAACAACTACGTGTGCGTCTTGTCATGGACAGTTCAACGAACTTGTTTGAAGTTCATGATAACATTTTAGAACTCGTACTGAATTTATTAAATTATTCATCAACAAGTTCTTTTTATGAAGATATAAGAAAAATTAGAGAATGGATTATCAAACAACCACATTTTCCAGAAGTAATGGGTAAGAAGCATTTTATAAGTCTGAAATATCCCAATGGGCGAAATAAAGCAACACACAGCGTAACTATTTTTTATATTAAACCTACAAAAGCTTTGTTGAAGTCAAATACATATTTTTTTTTTTTTGTTAATTTAACTAAAATCGAAGGTTGCGATTATTTACTATTATTTACTAGAAATTTGTTTTATTTCGTTAATAATAATGCCCCAAAATATTTTTTTCAATAATATAACTTTACTCCTATTATTCTAAGTGTCCTAAGTTATAAGTTAACTTTTGATACGCAGTCAGCATATCATTTCTTAAATTTAATAAAACACTTCAATTTTTGCAGCCGACAAAAACATCGAAAACTTTCTTATTTTAAACAAAGGCAGCGTCGAAAAATGTAAGGAAAAAATAGAGAATTACTACAGTGTAAGAACCCACTTAACAGATATATATGGAAATATTAATCCCAAATTACCTTACATGGAATATACGTTGAAGGCAATGTATAACCAGTTACAAAAATTCATATGACAATAATTGTCATAAGTTCTTTTAGGTATTTTGTTCCTCTTCCAAAACTTACAAAGGACTTCTACAGAGTGCTTTACCATAAAATACGAGATACATCCTTAACGAAAAATTTGGATTATGATGACGCTGTTCGCCTTTTAGTAAATATACAAGAACTTCGTATGACGGAAGATATTACATATGGCGATGTTGTTATAATGGACGGTCAAAATACTCCCCCAAGTCTTCTGTTCAAAGCAAAACCAACAACTCTATACAACGCACTAGTCGTTATATACAAGGTAGAATAAGATTTGTTAATTTGTCTGGTAAAACTGTGACATTGCAGAAAGTTTTCTCGAATCGTATCAAAGCAGTTTACTTAATAAACGCCCCTTCTTGTATAGAATGGTTTCTAACTGTTATTAAGAAGATTATAAAACCCAAAATATTTGAGCGAGTGAGTAATTTTAAATATATATTTTTTTAATCACCAATAACAATTATAAATTACAGATACACATATGTGAAAACTGGAATACAATCTTTGAACAGATCGGTGAGGAAATTTTGCCGAGGGACTGTGGAGGTAAAGAAAAATCTTTGGAAGAATTACAAGGTAAAACAATTTTTGGCAACTTTGATGTGTATTTTAACTGTGATTGTTAGATATCCTCGCTCAGGAATTCAAAAAACACCAGCAGTACTTTGATCAACTAGACACCCTTCGTGTCAACGAGGAACTGAGGCCTCAAAGGCTTGAAGATAATAACATGTTCGGATTTTTTGGAAATTTTAAAAAATTAGAAATTGATTAAATTCATATTTGTTTCACATTTTGTTTATTTGTTTCTTCTGGTTTTCATTTTAGGTAGGGCACTCATAATTTTAGTCAGCTAAGGCATGACGTTTTGTCTTAAAAACATCCGCGCCAACATTAAACATTCTTTCCACTGCGGCGCTAGTTGAAATTGTTGTATTACATGTCTCAGAAACATGGAACAGTTTGATTCAATAGATCTAATTAAAAATAAATCAGCTGCTTCATTTGTTTCTGTTTTGTTTTAATTTTTACTTTCCGAGCGTAAGCAAAGGAAGTATTGTAATCGAGTCCGTCGGCCGACTCTCTACTTTTACGTTTTCTCGATCTTTCATGACCCCTAGAAGACGAAGAAATAGGTCTCCCATTTCCGTCTGTCTGTCCGTCTGTCCGTCCGTCTGTCCGTCTGCCGTCCCGGATTTTTATTAGACAGATAATCTCCGAAAGTACTGGACCGATTGTTGTGAAATTTTGTACTTATATTAAGAATATCATGTAGATGGTAAAACGCTAACCAAAATTTGTCTAATCATCCCCACCACTAATGCGATCACGTCACTTCAAAATTGTACATAGTAAATGGGTTTTCAATTGTATAAAATAACATAGTCCTACACATGTAGTTTACAACTCTGAATCGACTTTTCACCCGAAACGTCCAGATTTTTGGAAAAAAAATCAAAATTATAAAACAACATTTTGAAATTTAATTTTTAATCTTCTGACCAGAATGCTTTGAAATGTTGCAGATGTTTTAAGGCTATAAAGAGCATCATAAATCTTTAGCCAAAAAATATTTGCTTATCCCCTCCAAAAACTTGATGACGTCAGCTCAAAAGTTTGTGGAATAAATCATATCTAAAATGTACAAAATATGATCAGTCTGTACTTGTGATCTATCACTCCATTCATATTTTTTGGATTCGCATATACAGGGTGACTCAAAAAAATTAATGAATGCGTAAATTTATTTTACTGATTTACTCAGAAACTACAAAACCGAATGCTTTGAAATCTTGCAGATGTTTTAAGGATATAAAGAGCATAATAAATGTTTAGTCAAAATATATTTGCTTATCCCCTCCAAAAACTTGATGACGTCAGCTCAAAAGTTTGTGGAATAAATCATATCTAAAATGTACAAAATATGATGAGTCTGTACTTGTGATCTATCACTCCATTCATATTTTTTGGATTTGCATATACAGGGTGACTCAAAAAAATTAATGAAAGCGTAAATTTATTTTACTGATTTACTCAGAAACTACAAAATGGAATGCTCTGACATCTTGCAGATGTTTTCAGGTTATAAAGAGCATAATAAATATTTAGTCAAAATATATTTGCTTATCCCCTCCAAAAACTTGATGACGTCAGCTCGAAAATTTGCCGAATAAATCATATCTAAAATGTACAAAATATGATCAGTCTGTACTTGTGACCTATCACTCCATTCATATTTTTTGGATTTGCATATACAGAGTGATTCAAGAAAATAAATGAAAGCGTAAATTTATTTTACTGATTTACTCAGGAACTACAAAACCGAATGCTTCCAAATCTTGAAGATATTTTAAAATTATCATAAGCATGGTAAATTTTTGATCAAAATATATTTGGTCGTCCCCCCTAAAAAATTTATGACGTCACCACAAAATTTTGCTGAATAAATCCTATCTAAAATGTACAAAATATGATGAGTCTGTACTTGTGATTTATCATTCCATTAAAATTTTTTCGATTTGCATATACAGGGTGACTCAAAAAAATTAATGAATGGGTAAATTTATTTTATTGATTTAATCAGGAACTACAAAACCGAATGCTTTGAAATCTTGCAGATGTTTTAAGGTTATAAAGAGCATAATAAATTTTTAGTGAAAATATATTTGCTTATCCCCTCCAAAAAATTGATGACGTCAGCTCGAAAGTTTGCCGAATAAATCCTATCTAAACTGTAAAAATATGATGAGTCTGTACTTGTGATTTATCATTCCATTCATATTTTTGGATTTGCATATGCAGGGTGACTCAAAAAAATTAATGAAGGCGTGAATGTATTTTATCGATTTAATCAGGAATTACAAAACCGAATGCTTTGAAATCTTGGGAATATTTTAAAGTTATTATAAGCATGGTAAACTTTTGTTCAAAATGTATTTGTTCATCCCTCCTAAAAAATTGATGACGTCACCCTTAAATTTTGCTGAATAAATCCTATCTAAAATGCAAAAAATATTATGAGTTTGTACTTGTGATTTATCATTCCATTCATATTTTTTAGATTTTCTTAAGAGGTGGTTCAAAAAAATTAATGAAGTCAATTTATTTTATTGATTAAATTAAAGGCAACACTTATTATTAGTATTACACCCCAACCAACCCAATTTGGTAGACACAAAATTTGTTAAAGAAAAAACTCGGTTGAAACATAAGGGTAGCACGCTTATTTACATCGACTTTAACATTACAGACCTGCATTTGTTTTATGCGCTCACTTGGTTTCGCGAATGTGGAATAGACATGTTTATAATCAACCAATTGTGAATTTGACCATCAAGAATTAAAATAAAACCCAATGTTTTATATAATAAGCGGAAGTCGAAGCAATAAAACCGATGGTCGTTTCGTTTACAGTTTCTCTGTTTGACTCTCACGTATGCTGTTACGCTTGTCATCTTAAATTAAGAATGTTTATACATAAACGATTTTCAGTTGCCTTTCATATTACTAGACAGCGGATTTTTGTCGGGCTACGTCACGTTTAATCGGTACTAATTCCATAAATATAATTAACGATTTATTAATCAAACGGCTAAGTAAATGAGAACGGGAATTAACAGCGGAGTGCAACGAAACAGCGTTATTCTAATCTCAAATAAACGAAGTGCAGTCCGCAACAGCAATGAATTCGCATCCCGTACGAGCCGTACCGAGTTTGGCCTTGCCTAGCCCGACAGAAATCCGCTCTCTAGATATTACACACCGACGCCGTATACGCGAGTAAATTGTTTCGTTATTTTATTGATTATAAGAAATCAATATTCAAAACGACCCAATTCATTTTCCCGAAAATTTGGGAATACAATAATTTTATTCTTAGTATTACACTACATCTATCCCAACTGATATACGTGTCCTTGCAAAAATGTTGATGACGTCATCGCATTTTTTTTTTAAATTTCCACTACTAAAATGTAATGAGAAAAAAAAACACAATAGGCATGCAGTCGTCAAGTTTCCGACAGCGAGGGAAGTACTGTCTAAACTCTTTAGACCAATTTTTTATATATTGTATTTGTATTTGGTGTCCCTTTGGACATATTTGTCTTTGGGTAATTCTTTTTTTTTTGGGAATCACGACGGTGATTCTATTCTATCGGCAAGCACATGCCGCCCAGCACCCCTCTATCATGAAGAAACGTGCCGCGCGAGAAGGCTGCAACGCTTGCAAACTCGTGGTTGGAAATCCCGGCTATTGGGACAAGCCGCGAGCATCACGTCATCCCGACCGCTTTCCTGACTTCTATTCAAAATCTACGTCTTTTGTGCAGATGGCGCAATAAATCCCGCCAGCTCTACCAGGAACCGCGCCCTCAGCTTCTGCCAGGTCTTTCTGTGTTATTTACCCCAATTCCATATGAATGTTCAATTTCTATGACTCTGATATTAAACTACAACCGAACAAGTGTTGAAGTTTCAAAAGGAGGAATAAACAACATTCTTATCTGAGATTAAGATTAGACATCAGATAATTTATGATAGAAGCATTTATCAACAAAATATTTGCGTGGTAGAAATAACTAGTAAAGATTTATAACAACAAAAAAAGATCTGGTGTGTAGTACCTAAAACTTGTGCAGACAAAAAAAATTACGTGAGGTTAGGAACTGCAGAGCATGAAAATTTACGTTCAATTTAAATTATTATACAACAAAGAAAATTACTGAGGCTAAAATTATGAGATTGAGAAAAATCGCATGAGGTGAAAAATTGCAAAGCTAACAAAATTACGTGAGGTTAATATTTTCCACACTTCATCAACGATTCAAACAAAAAATTTACATGATGTTAAATGATGCCGCACTTTGTCAATCATTCAAAGAAAGAATTTACATGATGTTGAATGATGCCACACTTTATCAACGATTCAAACAAAGAATTTACAAGATGTTAAATTATGCCACATTTTATCAACGATTGAAACAAAGAATTTAGATGATGTTAAATGATGCCACGATCCAAGAGACTGGTTACTTAAAAAAATTCCTTTGAGAGTTTGTATTGTGCACTGTCCCCAGCTTATGACAAACAAACACATGATAAATAAACAAAAAATTTCTTTTTAAATAATGTCGCAATTATTTGTGAATCTGTCCCAATGACAAATTTAATTATCTATGCTGACAAAATTAAAACATTTCTTTGCTTGATTAAAAAATTGCGTCTAATAATTCTGATCTAATAAATCAAGTAGAAAAGTGGCAATCCAGCTCAAAGCAAATGTCAATCAGACTACTGACAGACAAAAAACTAAATCATCAAATCAGTTTATCCAATTAAAAAAAATATATCAAAACCTACTTTACTATATAAAGATCGTGAATGGATAATAGTTTTTATTTGTAAATGTGTAGTTTAAGTCCAAATATGTGTTATCTAAGTTACGTGTTGTAAGAAATGAAATAAAATATTAATGTGTAAAAAAATAATTTTTCTTCGATATTTTGCGTATATTTCTTGCATATTTTGCAATTTTTTGCATATAATGCCAAATTCCTTTGCATATATGTGCGCATATTTACATGTTTTTTTCTGCATATAATTCCGAGCTTTAGTCATCACCATGGACATCTGTCATATCAATATCTAATTCTTCTGTCTCGGTATCACTTTCATCTTTTTCTTTTTGTTTGTTTTCAGGACTTCCGTTGCTTTGGCTTCTGTTTTTTTAACCTGTTTTCGAGCCTGACACTTTCTTTGTCCTTCTATCAGTTTAATTTTCATAGGGGTT